ATAGTTCGTAGCTGTCACCCGCATGCGTACTATAATTGTCAGTTCCTGTAGCCATCGATTGAGGTCTTAATTGGTGCGGTGAGTGCTCATTAATTGCCACAGCGCTCTTGTCCGCGTCGGATGCGGGATTGATAATTGCGCGACAATTATGCCCGCTGTCGTCAGAGTTGGTCCTTCCCACGTGACCGATTCTCTTGCTCAGGAAATTTCTCAGTACACCGTATGGGAACGCGGCGGCGGTGAGGAAGAAAGACGCCAACTCCTAGGTTGCAGCTTACTCAACGGGACCCGGCCATATTTTAAAGTTTAATGAGGCCGAAATCCTTGCAAGGGGTGGCGACCGCGTGAGTAGCGAGGTGCTCGAGTCATGGTTCTCAGGCCCCAGTCCATCAACAAGCGCAACGATTTGGCGTTTCTCCAACAGAAAGCATCAATAGCAAACTGAAGAGCGTTGTGTACACAGCTTTTACCAGATAGTGCAAATTCGCTGCACTTTACAATCAACCCAGAGAACTAGAGTTGATTGTGGGAAACCAAATAGTACAAGTGATATGCCGCCCGTGAAGTAGCACAATAAAAATAACCGAAACAACCTTAGATGCATCGAAAAGGCACCTATACATTCCAGCCATGTTTACTGGAACTTTCAGCGAAAGCAAGCCCGTTAAAAACACAAAAACCTGTGTTGCCTTACGTTCATCAATAACCTAAAGTAGGAGCACTTGGCTTTCCGCAGTTGCAGTTGAAAATCGAGGGCACGCACTTCCGCGAGCATCCTACCGTATGGGCTGTTGTTGCCGCCTCCAGCATTCACTCTGCCAGAAAGGGCACTCATTGCGTTGGAGCAATCCCTGAGGGCGGCCAATATGCCCAGATGTGCACAGGTGGTCTGCCTATGATCATGCAAATCAACGTCTTCTCTAATTAGTAAGGGATCGTTTGCAAGGCTTTCTACCTTGGTCGAAAATGCTGCCAACCAGATGTCAGGGAAGTCCTTTGCCAGCTCCTACAATTTTGAAGATGTATGAGACAAATTAAATAAGAATTTTCGGCAAAACCGTCGTTTAGAGCCTCCCGCCAAAGTATCTAACGTATTTTGAGGTCAAACATTTAATTCTTGGTTACTGAGTGTAAATGAATATTTAATTGTGATGGAAGTGATCAACAAATATTAAATTAAAGAAACATGTTTATTTAAATATACTAACTGGAATAACCTCCATTAACATAAACTCCTATTGCTCAGGATACTGATGCCAATTGAGGAAACTTCAACCTTATCTTGACGTAATTCAACGAAGAAAGGGAAATTCGACCTTAAATTGGTGGAATTTATAAATCAAAAGCAAAAGGGACCTTCAAAGACAGATCTGAGGAATTTTCCATTTCATCTATATTTCTGAGGATATCTAAATAGAAATTTTCAGTTTTAAAGAGAAAAGCTCTACACCTTCAAATGCTCTAGGTTCACAGGTAGAAAAACAAATCAGTCAGAAGCTGCAAATTAAACAACAAGTAGCATAGAAAGTTTAGCTTATTTGCGGCAGTAGTACGTTTTCCGTTTCCTGCAAAAGCGTAGATTAGAAAATTTGAAGAATTTTTTTCTCCGATATGAAATTCAAACAAGCATGGACCGCAGGATTTATTGGATCCAGTAAATTTCACGTCGGTCTTTCAACTGTAATCCGTCGATGCATGAATTACATAACGAATAGAGGCATACATCAGTTTAATTTTCTAAGCATGTGAAGGCATAACAGCAAGGATCATAGTTAACTCCAAATATTGATTACACTAGATGTAATCAGCATATAAGCAGAGAAGAGGGTGTGAGTAGGCTAACGCAGCTCACATTAATGACTAAAGGTAAGTATCCAAGTACCAGGGTAATTGGAGATTGGCCACATACTCGAGCCGCTTGGATAGGTCGGATTGCTCCTGCCGTATGTAGGTTACTGCCAAGTAGCACATGGTCTGATTTGGTCTTGCCCGAACAAGTACTCGGAAAACCGTTTTAAGGTCGACAAGGTGACCACTATAGCAGCAGTATCTTAGTCCGTACAGCTCGATGGATAGAGTTCAGAGTGTGGAAACCAAGGCAAACACTCTTGTGCTCAGGGCCCCAAGCATGTACTTACCCGGAATAGTTTAAATCCAGATTCACGCTCCTTCTTGAGGCCAAGGGGGTATGACCTTCAGCGTTGATTTTCTAATCAGCGTCACTTCTGACAAATTTTAGCGTTAGAGATAATATTGATACTACTAAGACTCGGCTACATTGATAGTGAGTAGTAGAAAAACAGTAGCAGCCGTATCAGTCTCAGCCTCCTTGGGCCTATATTCACACGTACTATGGGTGGGAGAGGATAGATAGTACAGTAGTACCCGCGCAAAGTCTACTATCACTGAAGACTAAGTTATGCAGTGTTTCGGCTTGCATTTGATAAAGCAGCCTACGCCGAACCCGCTTTAGTCTTCAGGACTCCGGGAGAAGGTGAAGAGCGCGGAGCCGCTAACTACGTCCTCTATCACTTTAAAGCTAACCCCTGAAACCTTCACCTTCTGTACCAACCTGTTGGTGCACTTGGTGGACTTCATCGAGATCGATGGTCGAACACATACATACATACTTGCATCCACAAGTGCACGCGAATTCATCCACACAGTTTCGGGTGTCGTGCAACGACAAGGCATCCTTTGCACCTTTTATTGGAAGGCTTTTGGTAGGACTGGGGAAGACGAGTTCAGCTACTGGTATGCTGTTTTGATGTAGTATCCTTTGTGTGATCATTATTTACAGTGACCTATGACCCCTGCTGTTATGGATTGAGATTCTGTGGAGATCTTAACTGCTGTATGCTTCTATTCGTTATCAAACTCATGCAACGACAGGATGAATTTGAAAAGCCATTGCAAAATTTACTGGAGTCAACAAATCTTGCTGCCCCTGCTTATTCTGGACTATGAAGGACAGTCAGGAATACTATGGAGTCTATTTTCATGTCCATGAAAAAAAACACCCAATATAGGGCTGGCGCGGAAAATAACCAAATCCGTATTTATTTTGGAGGTAATAACTGATTATAGTCGAAAAAGCGGTAGTTATGTACCTATTTCTTGAACTGTCAGGTGAATAATGTTAAATTAAAATCACACCGTAGCAGTCTGCAAATTGCTGATATCTTGAGCCAAACCAGAAATCGGGGAGCCAAAACAAGTCGCATACATATCCGGTTAGGAGAGGCTTGTGCTCTTTAGCAGAGGGCTTATGTAGCAAGTAGTACCTTAGTAGTGGGTGACTGCCCAATGAGGCAGAAAAGGCCTTAGTGATGTGCTCCGTGTTTGTCGGTAAAATTTACCAGTAGTACCTAAATTAAGGTATCATGGCCTAGAGCCAATGCAGAAGAACATAGTTTTGAGCATTTATTAGGCCACGATTGTGACGTATAGGAATGATCTTGGTTTACTCCCACAAAATTTATCGGCCGTTGCTCACGCCAGCCGTCCAGATTTTACTGCAATATGTTGTTTTTGTTATTTTCGAAGTCGATTTGGCAAACACGTGTGTTCAGCAATTCTTCATCAGGCCAATAGAGTTGCAGGAACTAAAATGGTCAGTTATATGCAGTGCTTAAATGGTTCTCGTGGTAGGGGAGGGATGTGTAATTAGTCATCGCGTGAGCCGAGTGGACACCGCGATGACTAGTTACACCCCCCACCCGAGAACCATTTTATCGCTTCATATAACTGACCATTTTAGTCCCTGCAACTGTATTGGCCTGATGAAGAATTTCTGAAAATACGTGTTTACCAAATCGACTTTTCAAATTAAACATGCAACTATTTGCAGAGATTATGATATTGTTTACATATAACTTGTTGTTGCCAGATGCTAATGTCCTGGTACATTTTATCACGGTTGGTTGGAAAATAGCTTAGCGAACAACGAATATCCTAACCTACATAGCTTGCAGAGACCTGAACGAGATTCTGCACAAAAGAACAGATATTATACACACGAACCGTAGCAACTGTAGACAAAGTAACCGCGCAGGGATAATTGTTCTCCATGAGCATAAGTTTCGCCTTTGTTAACGCGAGTAGGCTCCGGATTCTTCCGGTGCTCTTCTCGGTACCAAGTCTCTGACAGGCCATTTCAGCGGCTTGGATAAAATTAACAGCCTGATCTGTCTGCGCAAGGCGAGTCAAACGTAGTGCGATCTCCGCCCAGCTCAGAGCCATGCGTTGAAGACGGGCGGTGTCTTCTGCTGCAAACTGGGTCTGCCCTGTTCCATCGCTGGCTTCACTATTCCTCGACTCCACTGCATGATGAAGAACTCTGAAATTGGCAGAAAGTTGCTTATCAGTTACCTTGGATAAACGCAGTTATCCAGACCTAGCCTGGTGGAGTTAAAATGTATATTCTTAAAAAAATTGATCACACACAACTAAGTTTAAACTAGCATAATTTTAGTAAGAAATAGTGAGGCGGCTTTTGTTTTTATGTTTTGGGGTTCTATTTAGAAATCTAGAGTGTTTTAACTAGAAGTTACACATAAGCCCATTAACATTTTTAACCTCTACATTTTCTAATGGCTCTGATGAAGGGTCTGCTACGGATTTCAAAATATCAGACAAATAAAAGTCTTATCCCAGTGATCACATTTTCTTTTTAATATGTAATACCCCTCTTCCGCAGAAAGAAAGCAATACACTATAGAAATAACGGGTGAATTTTGGCAGATTTACATACATACACCAAGCCATTTGTACAAAAGTCGGCGGTCATGATGAAACGGGAACACACAACAGCAAGATTAAGTATTTAGCACAGCCGACGCGCTAGTCATCTGAGCTAGGAGAGCCAAAACAAGAACCTGAACTTGAATCACAACTCTTTAGGTAATTCAAACAAACTGCGATTTACATCTAAACCTTCACTCCAGCCCGCGTATGTGACGTGGTCAAAAGGTAGACTTTACTCTAGCCTGGCGTTTTCTTTCTTAGGTATAGATCCCGCCGAGGCCACCTGATTGTAACAATAGTGTTCATTGAATAGGATTGAGAATACGATTCAGACTGGTTCATTTAAATAATTAAGCTGGAAAGCTGAGTTTGTTCGCTACCTATGAAAAGGCTGTATACACACTGCTCTGTATTGAATTTCTTTTCAATTTTGTCTGCACAAGTCAGGTTAGAAGTTTATTAAGCGGGGCTATATGCTGTATGCCATATGCTTTAAATGTGCTCAGACCCCGCAGCTGTTTATAAAAAGCAATAAACTTTGGTTATTTTGAATTTCGACGAAAGCCAAAGCGTCTATCGTACCCCGGAGTAGTAATCCGACCTGCCGGGCGTTTGACTAATAGTGAACTAATGTTGTGCAGATTTTATTTAAATTGCTTCCAAGTGATTCGAAGAGATCAACAACGATTACACACCTAGCTTAAGGTAGACGGAAATGAGTTTTGATGATTTTTTTAAACAGGCACCGTGTCACGTGTCGCGAGGGATGTCATCAAACAATCGAAAATCACCCAGTCCATGTCACGGTTGCCATCCAATCTAGCAGAGAACTTCTTCTACTTGTACTAGCGCCCGAACGGCCTTCCTGCTATCTGATATCCACACGTTCTAAATCACTAGCGATAGCTTCTCACATAAACCACCGGATGTGAATTTGCTGTGGACTTTCGAGTAAATCAACGGTCTGTTTTCCCAGCCATCTGCTATTATCTTGCTTTCTTCCTACCGGTCGCCACCACCGCCCACGCTGCTGATGACTACCCTCGGTTCATTTTTCACTGGGCACGTGCCCGGCTGCCAACCTGTTCCATTGTTTCCCTTAATTGTTCTATACGGCATAGAGTATACGATGAGCTGGCGTACGACTTCTTTTCTTCCTATTTGGAAGTATACATGAAGGTCTCCGTGGTTTGGGTCTCTATGTGGATTAATCTATCGCGTAACCCTCTCAGGATGTCTTCGGTAATAGGCGAAACTGTATTTCGAAGTCTGTCAATGCGATGGCAGTTACCCCCCAAAAATCTGAAGACCTGATCTAAAACACATGGCTGACGATTCGGACTTTGAAACAGTAGTACAACTGACTATCACAGAAAAGGATGTAAGGATTGCATTCATGAGGTAGGCTTTTTCAAGAATAGGAGGTTCGGTAATAAGCCTGCAGCTTGCGCGAAGCGAAGATTGCCTCCTGATATTAATTTGTTGCTTTTGAATCGCAGCAGATGACGATTTCGGGGGCAGCTAAATTACCAAATTCTGAGCGGTTGAATTAGGCTTGAAAATGAATAGTATTCCCTTTAGTGGAGACTTAACTATTTGCCGAAGATGGAAAATTTGTGTGTAGTTGGCCCGGACTATTCCGTAGACAGTAGCTACAATTCTCTATCTCTGATACTACTATCTATCAAGGCAATATACTGTTGATGAA